GAGGCCCGCCTCGCCTCATTGGCATGAGGCTTACGCTTCATGTTTTATATATTAAAACTTACATAAATATTGAAGTAAATGCCCGACATTGGATTCTATAGGAGATGAGGAAGGGGAGAGAACAATTCACCATAATGATGATTCAAATGAAGAATATTGCAAGGATGCTAATATTGTGTGGGAAAAAGTGGCTAGTGATATTAAGAATATTGCAAAAGATGTCCTTGGAGTATCAAAGGGAAAAGTTCCCAATAGTAAAAATAGTTGGTGGTGGAATCCTAATGTGCAAGAAAAAATTAAAAATAAGAAGCTTTGTTATAAAAATTGGTTTAATTTAAAAATTCTGATAATTGGGAAATATATAAAGTGGCTCGTAAGGATGCTAAGAAAGCAATATGCGATGCAAAGACCATAGCTTTTAGTGCATTATATGAATAGATTTAGATAACTAAAGAGGGAGAATGATATATGTATAAGTAGCCCAAACAAGAGATATGAGAGTAAGGATTAGTCAAGTGGAAGTGTATTAAAGATTGAAGATCAAAAAATACTTTTCTTAGAAATGATATTCAACAAGTCTATGGGATGAGATATTGCTAAACTTTTTAATGAAGATTTTGAAGAATAAGAATTGAACGTTATAGTGACCTTAGCACCTAGATGAAAATAAAGATTTATGTTTTATCGGCGTATTAGCTAAAAACTGAAGTTAGAGAGGCTTAAAGAAAATGAAGGGTGGAAAAGCTGTTGACCTGTGATATTCCAATGAGCAGGTGGAAAATGACTTAGGGAGATGAAGAATTTCATGGCTTACTAAACTTTTTAAACTATTTTGAAGACTAAGAAGATTTGCCAAATGAGTTGGAGGAATGAGTGTGTTAATTCCTATTTTAAGAATTAAAGGTTACTGCACAAATTGTGTATATATAGACGGTACTTAAGTTAATGTGTCATACTTTAAAATTGCATATGGAAAGCGAGTTATTGACGAGACAATATTGCTGCAGTAGATAACAATGTTTCTCAAAATCAATTTGGATTTCATGCCGGGTAGGCTCGTACTATGGAAGAATTTAAAAAAAAATAAAAACTAAACCAACACTTTTTATTAGAGGTTTGATGGAGAAATAAAATAGAGTAAGGAATAAGGAGGATCTACATATGTTGATATTTATTGATTTAGAAAGAAAGAAGCATATGATAAGTTTCAAGAGAAGTTGCCTATGGAGAAGTCTGAAAAAGAAGAATCAATAATGCTTATATTCAAAATCATTCAAGATATGTATGCAGAGTCCTATTACTTGTGTTCAACACAAGTGGATTGACCAAGTATTTCCCTATTTCGTTTGGTTACATCAATGGATCAGCCTTAAGCTCCTAATCTTTTTGCCTTTAGTCATGATGTTCTCACAGATATTTGCAAGAGGATGCTACCTTGGGTGTGTATGCTTTTTGCTGATGGGATATTCTTCTTGTTGATAAGACTAAGGAGCGGAGTTGAAGAGTTAAACTTGAAACTCTATGGCGTCAACCTTAGAGTCTATAAGGTTTTCGCTTGAGTGATTCTAAAACGGAATATATGGAGTGTTACACCTTTAAAGTAGTAATAGATCCTATGATGGGATTGTGACTTTGGACGATCAAGTCATTAATAATGAGTACACGTTTTAGATATCTTGGATCTTATTGTTCAGAGTGAGGTGGAAACTTAGATGGGGATATCTATCAGCAGAATTTCAAGTGGTATGTTTGAAGTGGAGGTAATGCATCGGCTTTTGTTATGTATAGAGATGTACCCCTCAAAACTTAAGGGATAAATTCTATAAGTATGTAGTGGAAGGCCTATGCAATGCTTTTATGGTGCCGAATGTTTTGGCTTACAAGAGAAGCATTAATACTAAGTTAAGTGTATATGGCAAGAATGAGGATGCTTAGGTTGGATTGAGTGGCTTTACCCTCTAGAGATAGATACGAAATATCATATACGTGAAAAGGTTGGAGTTAAGCTCAGATAGAAGATAAGATTAAGAGAAAGTCGCCTTAGATGAGTTTGGTCTACATAAAAACGGCGGCCTGCGAACTGAACCCGGTTAGGAGAGTAAGAGGTATTAGATTTGACTTATGTAAGAAAGGTAGAGGTAGACCTAAAAAGACTGGTTAGAAAATATTAGGAAATATGACTTTCTTTTTTAGTTTAAACGAGAATTTGACTTTTAATAGGTCACAATGGAGAAAAAGGATTCATGTAGCCGACCCCACGTGATGGATAAAGGCCTTGTTGTGTTGTTGTTGTTGATGATTCAAATGAAGAACACATTAGTGATGACAGTGCTTATGACTTATGAGTTCTTATGTGATATATCATTGCTATTTATTTTTGGAAATTGGAATTATATGTTAATGAAAAGAATACTGGGATTTGGGAATGATAGAATATTGAGTTGAACTATATTTCATGTTGTCTTATTATAGAGATATTTTGATTTCACTTCATATCTTATGCTTTTTTATGTTTTATATTATTCACTCATTAGTATATAAAAAATTATCATTTTATGTTTACTGATTTTAAGGCTTACGCCTCAAAACGCCTTGAGGATTACGCCTCGCCTCATGAATGAAAAACGCCTCAATACCCGAATGTGCAATTTTAAACATTGTATTCTATTAAGAGTCAGATTCTCATTTATATCTAATAAAAAATGTAATTTCTAATACTTTATCATCATGTCTGTTTAGGTCTACCTTTACCTCTATTAACATAGGTTAAATCTAATACATCTACTCTTCTAATTGGTCATCGAAAGGCCGATATTTATGTGACCAAATCATCTAAGACGACTCTCTCTATTCTTATTTTCCACTTTAGCTACTCCAGCCTTTTCACGTATATACTTGTTTCACATTCTATCGCTTAAGAGTGAAACCGCTCATCCACTTGAGCATCCTCATCTTTGCAACACTTAATTTTATGCTTCTCTTTTAATGGCCAACACTCTACTCCATTAAACATTATAGGACCATCTTATAAATTTTTCCATAAGTTTTAGGGATACTTTTCTGTCACACAACATGCATGTTGCATTTCTCCACTTTAACTATTCAACTTGAATTTTGCTATTATTATCCCGATCTATTTCTCCATCACTTAGAACAATTGACCCGAGATATCTAAAAGAAAAATATAAAATATTCAACTAAAATTTACCTCCAAAACTTAAACCAAATATCCATTCATTCTCCACATCAATTCAATGAGAGTGATATATTTACAATAATATCGATTAATAAAAAGCTAACGTCATGTTGAGTGTATCACTATGATCATTTTGAAAAGATCTTTTGCCAGTTTGAACATGTGACATGCCTTCTATTTATGAATAATGGTTGATCAGTTCCCTTTGATATAATGATTTCATTGTAAAATGACATCATTAAATGACGGTCAAGGGTGCAACCCAGATGTTCCTAAATATCTTAGCCATTTGAGTTGTGAATCATAAGGTGCACTTGATTAAACACAAAGCTATGCGTTAGCTAAGTTTGAGGTAAAGTTATTTCCTTAGACAAGCATGCACCTTAGATTTACAAGGTCCTATTAATTGACATAGTCCATGGTTGCCGATGAAGATCCTTCAGGTTGCGTCTCTTATATCTACTTAGTAGATTAAGGTTCACCACAACCCGTAATGATGGAATCACGGGATGTTAATCTTGCTCGTCATATTTTCCCTTACATCCACCTTAAAATAACGATGATGTATTTTCCTCAATTCTAAATCAAATTGCTACTATATTCTAAGCACTTCGCATCTATAGATTGACCTTATTCAAAAGTTCTCAATCATCATTAAGAGGATTAATTAATCATAAGAGGTTGCGCTTATGGGAAATCTACAATAAGATTATAAAGTTCTCGCAAAATGTGGTTAAATTCTCGGAGTAGTGTCTTATCTATAATTCAATATGTTTTTTGAAAATTCGACAAGAATAAACTTTCTCAATAGATCCGAGTGCGATTGAGAACTTACATGCATGTCTATAATATGATCAAAAGAGCTAACCCTAACAAAAGAAACTCTGGAGGATGATTTCTTTAATTCTAGGCCTTAAATCAATAAACAAAGGCATATTAAAACATTTTTCAGATTTTGCATAATGAGGGCTAATCTTCAAACTTCACTTTTTGTTAATAAGCATAAGAAGAAGTGCTAATTTATACATCTTTAGCGAATCTTAACAAGAACACGGGCCAGAGACAATTAAAAGAGTTTAGCAGTAGTAGCACCCCCTTGTATCGGTTTGCTAAAAAATATTCCCAAAGAATATAATGTGGATTGGTTGATGTAGATCCATGGATAAATTGTTGGATCACTTAATGACGTTTGACGAATAGGATTTAGTAAAGATGAAGAACGTGTTGGAGCCATGATGTCACCTTTGGGAAGCACCGATAAAATAGGAAAAGTAATCTTATGAAGTGAGATGGAAGAACGGCTACATTAAGGAAGCTGGAGCAAGTCACCATCGAAGTTACCTAGAACTCATGAATGAGAACTAAGGACAGTCAAAGTGGCCTGTGATGAATTGGTGAGATGGACACACTAGAGACGATAGTTCGAGTGGAATGACTTAGATGATGTGTTGCAGGCAAGTGGAAGCAGCGCAAGCTAGTGAACGGTTTTGAGCAAGCATAGGCGTGGTCCAATGCGCACTCAAACAAGCTCAAGAAGCCTGCAAGCGAGAGCAAGGACACCGCTAGGCTGTGTTGGGATTCCCCCGAGGATGCCAGCGGATGTGAGATGCTTGTGACAGTGTGGGGCGGACGCTGTCCCAACGAAGCATGCAATGAACTACAACAAGATTTTGGAGTTTCCTGCTAGATTTATCTACTCATTATCTTATCTTGAGTGGGTTTCATTTTGTACATATTCTTGTTAAGTGATCCAAGCATTACTTGTTGATCTCTTTGTTTTATGTGCTTTATTAAACTTGCGTAGGGGTTTTGATGATGAAATGAGAGCAGTGGTTGCCAAAAATCTTGAAGGAAGGGGAATTAGATTACACCCTGGAAAGAATATACAAGAGGTGAATTATTTCCTAAAAGGATGTTTTAATCAAAATATTATATTTTCCTGCTGATTTCTTTCTCAATATCGGGCATTCCCTTTCTAAAATTTCTAAGCTGCTTCAGTTAAGTAAAACAGAAGAGGGCATCAGAGTTTTGACGGACCACGGAGATGTGATTGTGGCTGATACTGTCTTGTTTGCTACAGGTAGAATGTTATTTTTTGTTTGAGATTCAATTCTATTTACGTTTCAATATACAATTCCTTGAAATACTTAACCTTTAGAATGACAGGGTAATCTTTTTTTCATTTTTTTTATAGCCATGTTAGAATTCGATCAATCACCGGTCTTTTATTCTGTGTGTTAACAAGATGGAAAATCCTTTAATAATATATTCAGTGATTGTAATTGTTTAACTTTTTGTATTCATTTTTTTAAATCTTGAAATGATATGCCTGCAAATATATTCTTACTTTGCATTCTCTATAAATAATACCGTATATTCTTTAGCTATTTCTTTGAGGTTTTTGACATGTGTGCCAGAAGCTGCTGTTTCACAATGATACGAGGACTTATCATTGCATGAATGATAGGAAATATTATTTTACAAATAAATAAATCGCATAAATATCTGTGGAGTTATACTTGAGGTGTTAATTGGGCAAATCTTTTTGCACAACTTTTACGATGCCATCTTTTGTCTAGCACTTTTCTCTCCCTAAATCTATTTTCAACATGATTTCAGCTATGGGTGAAGCAATTGCACTTTCAACAAATATTATTAGAATCCTTTTTGTGTTTTTTAGAGCTCTCGCAAAAGGCGCCAATTGGTGAATATGTTTCCATGTATGAAGAATTTTAATTTCTTATATTATTTGAGTAGGGTTTTTTCTTAAAAAAATTGAAATAACCTTTGCATTAAAGTGTAGATAACCAATAAGTTGGAAGAGGTGCCCATTTTGGGCAAAATAAATGTATTGCCACTGATTCGCTTTAATGTTTCTGCAGACAAATCTATACAGCTAACATTAACTATCTCAAAAGATACATTAATGCCACACTATCGACTTGAAAAAAAAGAAACTATTTATTTTCATAATCAAACTCAACATAGGGAATGTGAAATTTGTCCCGAAAGATAAAATTCACATTCGCCTACTGTTTTAATTTTGAAATTAACCAAGAAATAAGATTTAGTCTACCCAAAATTTTTTCTTATAGGGTTTATTTATACCGGGTTATAGACTTTCTATATAGTTAATTACATCTCCAAAAATAACACTCTTGATTAAAGTGAGGATTAGACTATTTAAATATATGAAAATTTAATTAAAAATTCAGTTTAGAGGCTTGAAAATTGATTTATCATTTTAGAAGAAAATTATAAATTTAAAATTTATTTAGGATTTAGAGAATACATACTAAGGGGTATATAATCTGGACTTATACAGCTAACATCCTAGAAATCAATCAATGCCTTATGCATGCAATACATGATGACTTTATCCTAACGAGTCAATAATTTTAATTCAGGAATTTAAATTTAGGCTATATAAAATATGCAAATGAATCTAGCTAACGTCATATATGTTGTATGAAACAAAAGCATAAATAAAATTTTTTATTCATGTACCTGAAATATAAATACATCCAAGGATCTTGTTAGAAAAATAAGGTGATCAAGCTCCACCACAATGTGCTTAAGTTTCTACAACTATAAATGAATTATGTTTAAATGTGATTGCTTATTATCTTCTAATTATAAATCTCCTATAAGATTCTAAAATAAAACACCTTCCAAAGGAGAGGAGAGTTTTTTTTAGTCATATATGTATGTATAAACAATCATATTTAAAATTTTACAACTCTTTAAATTTATACTTAAATTTAAATATACAATGTAGACGCTCTACATTTATATTTGATCATTTGCATATATATATATATATATATATGTACATAGATGCTTTGTACATTTCTTTTATTTTTTAAAATAAACCTTGATATATTCTACTTTATTTTTCCTTTTGCAATAAATAAAATGTGCCATAAACATAAATGTAATGCATGTATGAATATAGTGTAGGTGTATATAATTTAATAAACTAAAATGCACCAACAAAAAAGTAATTATGCATGTCATAGAATGCATGATAGTAAACAAACATATCAAGGATACCATCCAGGCAAAGGTATTTACATCACACCAAACACACTACGACCTAGCCTAATATTAGAGTCAGTGACCCTAGTAAACAAGTTCTAGTGTGTGAAAAAGATTGTGTAATTTTGATATGTCCTAAAAAATTTAATTTTTAAGCTATTTAAATTTGAAGTTGTTTGTTGGTTATATGTTAGTGGGAATTTTGATTTAAGTTTAAGTTTTAATACTTTAAAATTTTATTAATTGAATTTTAATATGTTTTATTTATTTGAATTATTTTATTTTAAATTTTAAAGAACCATATTAGTTAGTGGCTTCAAAGTGTACAAGCCACTAGCCCAAGTCCTAAGACTCATAATTGTAATGTTATCTTTTTCTCATAAAGGATAGGATTGGTTGCATAAAATCTTTTATTTTGATTAAGTGTTTTAGTCCTTAAGCTTTCAATTCAATACATTTTTTCCTTTCTAAAGGGAGTCAAGTAAATAGCATGAAAGCTTCAATGCCTAAGTATTTTCTTATTGATTTTACAATAGCTTTTTTAAGTAGAATAATAATTTTTTTGTTAAATTAGGGCTATGAGGTTTATTTCACTCTCATTGGGGCTAACTAGTAGCTTTGTGAGCATGTGTTACCTAATAATATACCACATTGTTATATTTTAAACTTTACATTTGTTAAAATCATTAAATATTTATGATTCCATGCGTTTATGTCTTTCAAAATATAGATAAATATAATACATAAAAGTCTAATTAATTATTTAAAGACCCTTCAATCCAATGCACATATAATTTCTAGGAGTTGGATATAATGCATAAGGATTTATATTGTTTAAATTTGATTAAAGACTTTTAAAATCCAATGCTATTATGCTCTCTAAAATATTTAAACATTAAATAGAATGGTCATTTATTTAATGATTTAACATTTAATTAATAAATATATTTAATTAAATCAAGTTTAATTGAATTAATTATCAAATATTATTAGTTTGAGTTAATTAAAATTTATTTGTTATCATAAATTTTTATTTGATTTTTATTTAAAATTTTAATGATTTATTTAAGTTTTTAATTAATGTGGAATGATTATTAAATATTGAATTTTATTTTGGAGTTTTTTTTAATTTATTTTAGTGTTAATTTCAAGTTACTTTAATTTAATTTTTAACTTATTTAATTAGATTGCATTAATGTCGAATTTATTCTGATTAGTTTAATTTATTTATATTTGATTAATTTATTTTTTTAAATAATTTATTATTTTATTTATTTATTAGAATTTATGCATTATGATTTAGGAAAATAAAAAGAAGAAAATGCTAAATATGGTGATAAACCGATACCACGCAACCCTAAACTTGGCAAAATGAGTAAATTTCTAATCACTAGTGACAAGGGAAGTGCATTGAGTTAAAAAATCTTAAAAAAAATTTAAAAATTTAAATTCAAATAAAAAAAAATTTTTGTTAAGGCATAAAAATTAAATTTTTTTTAAATCAATTAAATAAAATTTCATAATTAATTTAATTGAACTGTTTCTTTTTTGATTAAAAATTATTAATTAAATCAATTAAATTATTAATAGCATGGATTTAGGAGGCCCTTAATCCATCTTAAATAATTAAATACTCCTTTTGCATTATATACAATTCCTTAAAAATAGCTTATGCATATCGATTGGAGGGTTTTAAATAATATTATTGCAGCTTCTTATGTACTAGCTTGTCTCCTTTAGAAGGTATAAGTCATGAGTCCCTCATAAGTCTTTAATTAATTTTAATAATATAAATTAGAAATATGATAATGTGAATATATTTCTGGTTAACAAGATAATCCCCTCTCCTTTGGAAGATGTGTTCTTTTGAAATCTAATAGGAGATTGGAGCTAGAAGATATTAAGAATCACATTTAAACCTAGTTCAGTTATAGGTGTTGAAACCCAAGCATATTGTGGTGAAGCTTGACCATCTTATTTTTTCAGTAACACCCTGGGATGTATTTATGTTTCAAGTAAATGAATAATTTTTTTTTATTTATGCATTATGTTTGCATAGCATTTAATACTTCATACATTATACATGACGTTAGCTAGATTCATTTGCATATTTTGTATAGTCTAGATTTTAATTTCTTAATTAAAATTATTGACTTGTCAGGATAGAGCCATCCTATCTTGCATGAATAAGACTTTGATTGATTATAAGAATGTTAGCTGGTTGTCCACTCCATATAGATATAAATCTATATTGTACGCATCTCAATGTGTCTTTTCTTAATCTTAAATAAATTCTAAATTTATAATTTCTTCTAAAATGATAAATCAATCTTGAAGCTTTTAAACTCAAAATTTTAATTAAATTTTCATATATTTAATTAGTCTATTTCTCACATTCGGAGATGTAATTAATTATAGAGGCTTACCTCTATAGGGATTCTAGAACCCGTTATAAAATAAACTCTACTTTAGTTTTTTAAAGTAGGAAAAAATCTTTGGACGCAGACTAAATCTTATTCCTTGCTTAATTTTATAATGAAAATGATAGGTGAATGTAAATTTTATCATTCGAGATGAATTCTACATTCCCCATGCTTAGTTTGTTTATGAAAATAAATTATTTCTCTTTTCAAGTCGATAGTGTGACATTAGTCTATCTTTCGATGTAGTTAATGTTAGTTGTACAAATTTGTCTAAAGAAATATTAAAGCGAATATGTGGCAATACATTGCGTTTGTCCACGCTCATATATAAGATTGGCTTTAATCTTCCTAGAAGGAGAATGATGATTTTCTTTAAATTTCATTTCATTGCATCTAAATCTTTATAAGGTCTTCAAATTCAAGATTACATTATGAATTCTAATCCATAATATGAAGTTTACTAACAGATCCAGTTTAATCATCTTTTTATAATACTTCAATTATTCATCATGTCAAGTGAAAGAAACAAGATAGGTCCAAATGATATATGGAACCCCACTTGAGTGTCTAGTTTAGCTCATATATTTCTCTAATGAAAACAATCAAATGCTTCATAAATATTAAGAATGACTTATCTATTTAATTCCATTCTATTTGGTTCACTTTATGCATTAAGAATGCCTCTTTTTTTCTCATGCAATCAATACGTTTCATTGAGAAAGTTTTGATCATCTTGATTGATTGTCAAAGCATTTTGAATTTTCTTGAAATTTTATGTGGCTTTGGATTATTTGTTGCTAAAGAGAATGAATGATTTTGATCATGCATCAGAAAGTTATAATATTATAAAAAATCTAATTGGAAGGTGTTAGGTGATTCTCCTTCAAGGAGGAGAAAATTCCATCCCTTATATATATACCCAACATTGAGGGGGTGGGAGTGGCAAGTAGAGGTGGATCGAGTGAAATGGCTGGGAACAATTTCTCTTTTCCACTTGAAATGTTGGAGCAAATGTTCTAGGTGAGAATTGAAAAAATGTTTCTAGCCCAATAGTTGAAGCAACTTCCAACTACTTGCGTACTCCAACCATTAGGGATCAATCTACACGTAGTTTCAAATAAGAAAAATGCAGTTATAATTTTCGTTATAATTTATGGGTAAAATTACATTTTAAGAAGTTTTTAATCCAGCACACACTAATCCATGGTCTATATAGAGTTTCAATGGAGCATGATCCATCTCAGATATACCAATCATGCAAAATAACAGATAAGTAAAATTTTCATAAATAAAATCAAAATGAAGATTATAAAAAGTGGGTTAGAAGAGTTAAACCGTAGATGATTCATTGAGGTGTAATCAATACACTGACATATTATCATATTATTGAATCATTTCGGATATTTTGTTACAATTTGATTTTAATTAATATGAGTCCACTCAATTAAAAAATTGAGTCAACAAAATGACCCTGATAGGAGTGGTGAACTTCTAAAAGTACATCACACATGCTGATCAAGTAAGATTCTCCAAATTAAATAGAGTATTATTTGAAAAGCATTGAACGATCTACGAATGCTTAAATTTGGATTAGGCTTGATCTATAAAGCAAGGGGATTTCTGTAGATCTCCTTAAAAAGAAGACTACATGATAAGGCTTTGTAAATGAAGTTCTTCAAAGACCCATCACAAAACATCACTTATAAAGCTTTCAATGCTTTCAAGCATTTTATGCAGCTAAACTGGTCCACAATTTCTTCTGCTCCTCTGATCTTAAGTTTACTTTGAGATATTTGTTTTTAGGATTTTTTTTTCCGCATTTGTCAGTTAAGTAGAACACTATATCTTTGAGAAGAAAGCTATATTGCAATCAATTAAGTTGCAATTCTTCCTGAATTTCTTTCTGAAGGAGTATGTCACTCTTTATTTATTCCTTTTCATTTTTGCGGCATTGACAGGTAGGGCCCCAAACACAAAAAGATTGAATCTTCAAGCTGTTGGTGTTGAGTTGGATAAAGCTGGAGCTATCAAGGTTCGTTTATCTTTTTGTTGTGTTTATAACAAGTGATTCAGGTCAAAAACCGTAACATTCCAATCCCCCAACACACCCTACACCCTCACCAGCTCACCTTAATTCCTTGAGCTTAGTTTATCAGCTTGAACAGGACAGTTCTCAAACACAAATGTTCTTCAATACTTGAATTTCCAATGCACCATTGAGACATAAGACCTAGTTAAGCTTTTTATGTAGAGGTTACTATGTTTGAGTTATTTTTGTCTCGCATTGACCGTACCATATGGATTGGCTAACTTTTGTAATGCCAATCTTTTGTCAGGTGGATGAGTATTCTCGCACTACTATCCCAAGCATATGGGCTGTTGGAGATGTTACGAACCGGCTGAATTTGACTCCTGTGGCTTTATTGGAGGGGACTTGCTTCTCAGTATGTTCACTTTTGATAGTATTAGTTTTTGTTATAATCTGAAATGTACGAGTTATTTATAGTTAACCATTATTAATTACATTTCTACTTTTTAATACATTTTATTTCAACTTGGTTGCAGAAAACTGTTTTTGGCGGGCAGCCAACCAAACCTGACCATAGTAATGTTCCTTCTGCCGTATTTTGGTAATCAAATTTTTAATTTAACTTAGTGGTTATATCATTGCTCTAAGATACTGTAACTTAAAGGACTTGAGAAACAATATGTATGTCTGTTATCATAAGTAGATATATATATCCACTTGATTAAGTTTCCTAGTGCAATTGTCCTTATAGTATCTATAGGTAGGCTTGATGCAAGAGACCATGGTTGGCTTTAACGGGGAGGGTTTAAGTGATTTTTTTTTTGTGCAAGGGGATGTAGGTGGACCCAATGAAAAATATCTGTGGTTTGGAGGACTTTGGGAAGCTTGCTTTCCAAAGGTGATCTAGAGGTACTATTAGGGAATGGGGTTTGGGCTGATTTAGATTGTCGATTCTATTTGTGGATGCTTTGGGGGGGGGGATGTTTATTATCTAAATACATGAAGTGCTAGGGTGGGGGGTTATTATCTAAAATTGAATACATGAAGTGTAATTTTTATAGTAATAGATTTACTGGTGGGATTCTGATATTGGATAATCAAGTCATTAAAAGAGTGCTTATTTTAGATGAGTTGGTCTATTGTTCAAAATGATGAATAGATGGGGATATTATTAGCATAATTCAAGTTGGATGGTTAAAGTGGAGGAATGCAAAAAACTTGTTGTCTAACAAAAAAGTACCCCTCAAGAGAAAATTTTATAAGATGGTGGTGAGACTTGCAATGCTTTATGGCACATAATGTTGGCCACTAAAAGAGAAGCACAAATTTAAGTGTTGTAGACATGAGGATGTTCAGGTGAATGAGTGGCTTACACTTAGAGATAGAATATGAAATGAGTATATACGCGAAAAATGTTGAAGTAGCTACAGTGGCAGATAAGTTTAGACAGAGTCATCTTAGATGGTTTGGTCATATAAAATGTCAGCCTTCCGATGACTCTAATAGGAGAGTAGATGTACTTGATTCGATATATGTTAAGAAAGGTTGATGTAAACCTAAAAATACTTGATTAGAAAGTATAAAAATAACTTTTTTATTAGATTTAAATGAGAATTTGACATTTAATAGGACATAATAGAGAACAAAGGTTCATGTAGCCGACCACACATAGTGGGATAAAGGCTTGTTGTTATTGTTGTTGTAAGCTAAGGGGAGGTTATGTAGGGAAATACGATGCATGTAGGTGTTCTATGGTTAGCTTATATGTGGGGGAAAGGATACGATAGTTGTTTAGGGTGGTTGTGTGACAGAAATGATGTGTGGAACTGTCGATAGGAAGAGTAGCTGGATTGAGAAAGATTTTGTAGAACTTATTGAAGTTGGTGGATAGAACAAGTGATGGTAGTGTAGAACTTAAATAGAAGAACAAGGATAAGCCACTAATCATTTCCCAAATAATACAGGTTGATGTAAACCTAAAAAGACTTGATTAGAAAGTATAAAAAAACATTTTTATTAAACTTAAATGAGAATTTGACATTTAATAGGACATAATAGAGAACAAAGGTTCATGTAGCCGACCACATATAGTGGGATAAAGGCTTGTTGTTATTGTTGTTGTAAACTAAGGGGAGGTTATGTAGGGAAATATGATGCATGTAGGTGTTCTATTGTAGCTTATATGAGGGGTAAAGGATACAATAGCTTTTTAGGGTGGTTTTGTGACATATTTGATGTGTGGAACTGTCGATATGAAGAGTAGCTTGATTGAGAAAGATTTTGTAGAACTTATTGAAGTTGGATAGAACAAATGATGGTAGTGTAGAACTTAAATAGAAGAACAAGGATAAGCCACTAATCCTTTCCCAAATAAGACATGTTGATGTAAACCTAAAAAGCCTTGATTAGAAAGTATAAAAATAACATTTTTATTAGATTTAAATGAGAATTTGGCATTTAATAGGACATAATAGAGAACAAAGGTTCATGTAGCCGACCACACATAGTGGGATAAAGGATTGTTGTTATTGTTGTTGTAAGCTAAGGGGAGGTTATGTAGGGAAATATGATGCATGTAGGTGTTCTATGGTTAGCTTATATGAGGGGGAAAGGATACAATAGTTGTTTAGTGTGGTTGTGTGACAGATTTGATGTGTGGAACTGTCGATAGGATGGGTAGCTGGATTGAGAAAGATTTTGTAGAACTTATATAAGTTGGATAGAATAATTGATGTTAGTGTAGAACTTAAATAGAAGAACAAGGATAAGCCACTAATCCTTTCCCAAATAAGAAGAATGACTTTGCCCAAATATAATTTTGATTTATTAAAAGCATCCTTACACGACAACATCTTCATATTTAAAAGCATTATGCATAACCAAACTCTAAAAATCTGTAAAAAAAAGAAAGCATTACGAGAGGGAAAAAGACAACAACACAAGAATACCAAGGGGCGATCAACCATTTCATTATTGTATCTTGGAAACTCCACTTGGAAACTCAAAAACTAAATGTAGCTCATTGCCCTAATATCTCTATGTAGCATCTCGTTCTTTGGACTAAAATCAAATTTAATTTATGTTTGGTTATGTGTATTAATGCATGGGAGTGATCATGCACATTTATGCTTGTTTATGACTTTATGTGGGTATTTTTCTTAAATTGTGCTTGAATGCGTTCATTTGTTACCCCATGGGAATTTTGTATGGCTTGATTATGCATTTCTGGTTATCTTTTTACTTTTTTCTGATTGTGTTTTTTGTCTGCTTGTTTTGGTTTTCTATCTGGATTTAAGCAATAATGCCGTGTGCTTTTTGTTAAAAAACATATTTTTAGAAGTATAATGATGTAGATTTAGCATATCGTTCTTGCCACCCTAGGTCTGGGAACAAATGCTAAGGTTTGTGCGTCGTTGTGAAGCATAAACCTCGCTTAAAGCTCATCCAATTTGTTGATGGCGTCCACTTAAATATAAACTAGATTAAGATCAGATAATCTCAGCCCTTCTTTTCAATTTGCATATCTTGTTGTTTTCTTAAGTATTTATGTTCTCATTTTTGCAGCATACCACCTCTTTCAGTTGTTGGTCTCAGTGAGCAGCAGGCTGTAGACCAAGGCAAGAGTGATATTTTGGTTTTTACTTCTACATTTAATCCAATGAAGAATTCAATTTCTGGGTGAGTAGTTGACCACATGACTCAATTTTTCTGCTAAAATATATCTTTAATTTAGAATTATACTTAGATTGCAAGGAAATAATGATTATATTGTAGAGATATTGAAAATAATTTTTGTAAAATAAATTTGGATTATTGGGCACGTACATCATAGGTTAGAAGACTTACTATTATTATGCACATAACTGTTGAGGAAGGATGAAGAGTAGGAAGTGGTAGATCAAAGGTAATATGTAGAGGTGTCAATTTCGGGTCACGG